ACCAGAGTAAACTCAGGTATGGACAGAGTAGAAGGCAGGCGTGGGGCGAAGCCAGATCGGGACGAAGCAGGTACAGGGAGCAGGCTAGAGACGTGATCGTAGACAGGCGAAGGCAGGCGCGCAGATAGGGTGGGGGGCGGGGGGATCGGTCCCCCCCCAGATTCAGATTGACCCCGATCCGTCCCCCCCAACTAAGGCCAGAAAGAAAACAAAATCGGAGGTTAAGCGCTTGAAGCTTCTTTTTTCCAATTACAGTGAATGCAGCATGACATAAACAAACACAGACTCCAGAGGCGCCAAAGTGGTTGCTGCTAGGATGCAGGATGAAGTGAAAAATACAAGCAACGATTACTGCGTATTTAAAAAGACCAACAATGTAAGTAGGCGGGACCGATCTGTCTGTTTATGCATGTTGGTTCTAGTTTCAGTACATTGTTGTCGGTGTTGGGACTTACTCGTTATAAGCACCAAAGCCTCATTGCTGACTTTAACAAGTCTCATCTACAAATATGATCCCTCATGAAGTTACTACTTTACACCAGAAGATAGTGGAGATGTGGAACCTTCAGGCTGAGCAAAGTTTGGGAGATTTGAGTTTGAAAAACACCTCCCGCCGAGAGGCGCCCAGTCGGGGAGAGGAGGAGATGCGTGCAGCATGAAGAGCGCAAATATTAGAAAAAATAAATAATTGCCGGCAGGTCTGGTCTTTGTTGACTGATCACTTTGTCTGGTAATGACTGACTCTGATTATGAAGCAGAATATTGACTTTGATGAAGAAATTCACTCATCCAGCTGGGAAGATTGACGCTGCTGCAGCATCAGACAGCAGGTGCTGCACGAGAGGTGTGTGGAGTTTACAAGCTCCAAACGTTGGGTTTGATGTTGGTTTAACCTTCTCTGGGACGTGATGGATGTAGAAATGATGGTAAAAACACTGCAAAAGGGACAGACGTAGCAACAATGTAAAAAAAAAGCCGTAAAAAAAGAGGCAGATCCTGATGCATCATATATGGAAGTCAAGTGTGCCACATAATCATAAAAATAGTATAATATAAAATTTTAAAAGAGATTTATATATTTATATATAAATTAAACTTTCCAAATATAATGAAAATTTCTAAATAATGTAAGAATACGAAGGAACATCTGTTGGTAAGGCTGAAAAGTTAGGGAACTACTGCTCTAAGTGACAAGTGAATTTCGTTTTTAAATATATTTTATGTGCAGTTTTTTAGGGCTTTTATGTTTTCTGTAAAGATTGGTATGCTGAAAATCATTTAATGTTTTGCATAAAGCATGAGGTTTTGGTTAGTAATTGACTGGAAGAATAACAAATGACTGAATTAAATAGTGGGGCGCGTCTGTCAGTGCGCCCCAGGGCAGCTGTGGCTACATCGTAGCTCATCACCATCAGTGTGTGAATGGATGAATGATACACTGTAGTGTAAAGCGCTTTGGAGTCCTTACTCTGAGAAGCGCTATACAAGTGCGGATCATTTATCATTTATAGCGTTGATCAGGCAGAACTTTGTTGCCAGCGTTCCACTGCATAATGGCTTCAAACACGTATATAATAAGTAGTTTTCACGTAAACCGTTGGAGGAAATTACACAACCTGACTGAGCTCTAGTTAAGGCGCTTGCAATAGTTTGTGTGTGTGTGTGTGTGTGTGTGTGTGTGTGTGTGTGTGTGTGTGTGTGTGTGTGTGTGTGTGTGTGTGTGTGTGTGAACTTTGTCCCCCCAGTTTGAAAATCCTATCTGCGCCCCTGGGCGAGGGTCGTGGTGGCAGGCAGAGTTCTTGGCGATGGCCAGGCGTGGAGACGAGGTTGAGAGACTATGATCAAGATGCCTGGAAGATTTACTAGCAGAAACGTTCAATAATCTGGCAGAGTGCTGGTGGCTGACTGTGAAATATATAGCTGGTGAGGCAGGTTTGTGGCATGAGCTTGATGGTGAGTTAACTGTGGTTGCTGGGGAAACAGGGCTTGGCATGAGCTTGATGAGGGGACCAGGTGTGATGCATGAAGGCTGATGAGGTGAATGATGGGGCATGGAGGTCAGGACCTGGCAGGATCATGACACTCGTGGTGAAGAGAGAGTTGAGTCAGAAGGCGAAGCTCTCGATTTACCGGCCGATCTACGTTTCTACGGTTCCCACTATGGTCACGAGCTTTAGGTAGTGACCGAAAGAACGAGATTGCGGATACAAGAAGCCAAAATGAGTTTTCTCCGCAGAGTGGCTGGGCTCGCCCTTAGAGATAGGGTGAGAAGCTCAGTCATACAGGAGAGGCTCGGAGTAGATATGCTGCTCCTCTACACCAAGAGGAGCCAGTTGAGGTAGCTCGGGCATCTGGTCAGGATGCCTCCTGGACGCCTCCCTGGTGAGGTTACCGGGCACGTCCAATTGAGAGGAGGCCTAAAGGTAGACCCAGGACACCCTGGAGGGACTATGTCTCCCACCTGGCCAGGGAATGCCTTGGGATTCCCCCAGAAGAGCTGGCCCAAGCGGCTGGGGAGAGGGAAGTCTGTGCCTCTTGACTTAGGCTACTGCCCCCGCTACCCGACTCCGGATAAGCGGATGAAAATGGATGAATGGATGAAAACTAAAGATGGGTGAATGCTCTTTTTCCATGACTGACAATAAATGTGTTATAAAAGTAAATGTAACCTGTGGCTCCCTGAAAACTGAGTATGTGTATTCAAATATATCAGCGTGGAATACTCCTTCAAGGTTAAAGTGTTGTGGGAGCTACAGGATCAAATGTGTCTTATTTACTAAGGTTTCTTGCTTTTTGTTCCTTTGAACTCTATTTCTGGGTTCTTAGCAGTAGTAGCTCATTACCTGAAGTTTGAAACCTCCAACCCACAAACCACACACACAACAATCAATTCAATAAACTAAATATATTGAAGTATGTAACAGTTTGTAATATTCATCATAAAGGAAATAAATAATAAATTCCCTCTCCTAGAGGGCTCTTAGAGGAATGATAAAAATTGAACAATCAATAAATAGATATAAATAAATAAATAAATAAAACCAATTGTCCTTTAACAAAGTGTTCAGGACTATGTCACACAGTCTTCTTGCTTTTGGGCAAATTGGTAATTCAGTCCACTAAAATGTTGGAAAGTTGCCAAAAAAAGTGTCCAAACCCTCACTCAGGAAGGGAAAAAAACCTTAGTCCTTTGAATCGTGTAGAGGTCTTAAATGATCCTACCACATCTTTGATGAGACAGGATATGATGAAGACATCCTGCCATGGATGTGGCACCCATGAGTATTAATACCTCTCCAGTGGACCAAAGCAGTGCATCTGAGTCTTTAAATGTGTTGGCTTTCCAGGCAGGAAAAGGTGATTTAAACCTCAATCAACAAGCCTGCATAAAACATATGCAACAAAATTATAATAATGTCACTGTCTGTTTTCTATTATCTTCCAAACACACAAAATAGCTATACTTGGAAAAGTAGATTTCATTAACAAAATAAATATAAAAGAAAAACAAATCACCTTATCTTAACAGGAAATTTGTGTACAATTCATTTTCTCAACAGTTTAACACATCTACTCACAGAAACTGAGCTAACAGCTAGCCGGGTGGCTTAAAAATGTGGCTACACGAGACCGTTACAAATGCTCAAAAACATACATATATTTCACAGAACATAGCTTAGCATAGGTTACATCAACGTTTTTTTCTACTTTGTTTCACATCTACATATACATTCAGTCCATGAAACATTAGATTAACTCACCAAAGGGTTTCTTCAAAAAACAAATCGAGGTCTACTTCTAACGGCTCCTCCTTCAGTAGCGAACACACTCTATAATCATAAAACACTTTTTGTTTCAATAAAAACTTCTCACAAATAATCTTAAACCCTCCTTAAGTGATGAACCTTACCTTTCTAGAAGCTTCCAGTCACCTATTACTTCGCTGACGGCAGTTAGCTGAACTTCTGCTCACCTGTTCAGCCTAACGGACAAAAACGTTTTTTTTCTCCGGTGTGGGGAGGGCTGCGCAGCTCGGCTCCATGCTACGTTCAAGTAACCCTCGTAATTTTTTATACTACCGAAAAACGGTTCCTAACAATGGAGAATTTTTTAAAAGGAATTTAGGCTCAATAACCCTGGAAGATAACCTGGGTTACATTCTCCCCCTCTAGATGGCATGGGTCCCTTCATGCGTTGCTATGGATAAAGGGACTTCACGGCACAATGCAGCAACAAAACCTCGGAGAAAAAAACTAATTGCTTGGATCAAGGGTTCACCCAACTGATTATATGTGAGTCTCTGAGGTGGGTGTCTGTCTCTACTGGAACGTCTCAGGTCGCATGATGGCAAGTCACAAGTGACAGGCTCTGAGCCATCTAGGATTTGCTCAGCATTGATATCTGCTGCGTAATTACTGTCAGCTGATGCAGATGTCGGTTCTGTGGGAATGTCAATGACAACATAGTCTTTATCCACACAAGGGGATCTATTAGGCAGAAACTGCCTGTCATCATCCACATGACAAGGTGAGATTTGCCTTTTCTCATTCCTATTTGACATCTCACGATCAGACACAGAGGTATGCGAAATGACACCAAAAGCACTGGGGTCTGTGTCGCAGGTGCGTGACAGAGGTACAACATCCTTATTAGTTGATATATAAGGACCCCTAGTAATTATCTCTGGAATCAGCTGACTGGAGTTCAGTTCATCCTGATCACTCACTTCATCCTCACTGTTGTCTGGGTCACCTTCTTGGTGATTTTGCATCTGTCTCAGATCTTTGCTTCTCAATTTCATTTTTTTTCCTTCCTTTTCATGAATTCCATGTTCAATTATTTCTTCCACGGGTAAGAATCCACATGGTAAGAGGAGGTCTCGATGCAAGGTGCGTTGTGGTCCTCTTCTTGACTCTGCTTCCACCACATAAACCGGACTGTCTTTGATTCTTCTGACCACAACATGAATGTCCTGTTCCCATTTGTCTGAGAGTTTGTGCTTTCCTCTCATATTAACGTTCCTGACCAAAACTCTGTCACCTGCAATGAGTTCGGCTGCTCTAACTCTCTTGTCAAACCTTGTTTTATTCTTTTGGCCCATTTTCTGAGATTTTTCTGCAGCTAAAGAATAGCTTTCTTGCAGCCGTTGACGGAGATTCTCAACATATTCACTCTGAGTCTTGTGACTTGTCTTTTCATGTTGTATCCCCAAAATTATATCAATGGGCAGTCTTGGCTGTCTGCCAAACATCAATTCATAAGGGGAATACCCCGTAGTGTCATTTCTCATGCAGTTATATGCTTGGACCAATGGTTTGACAAAATCCCTCCAATGGTATTTGTCTCTCTCTTCTAAAGTACCAAGCATGTCCAAGAGTGTCCGGTTAAACCGTTCCACCGGATTTCCACGGGGGTGGTATGGAGTGGTACGGATCTTGTTAGCCCCCATCATTGCACATAGCTCTTTAATCATCTTGGATTCAAAATCCCTACCTTGATCACTCAGTAAGCGACTAGGGAAACCGTAGAAGACAATGAAATTTTCCCACAAAGCTTTTGCAATGGTTCTTGCCTTTTGGTCTTTTGTAGGCACTGCCACAGCAAACTTGGTGAAGTGGTCGGTGATAACCAATATGTTTCTTGTACCACGACTGTCTGGTTCTAGTGACAAGTAATCCATGCAGACAAGATCAAGTGGATAAGTCGATGAAATATTTGTCAATGGAGCAGCCCTTTGTGGTACGGCCTTCCTCCTGAAACAGCGTGGGCAATTCCGGCACTTTTCTTCAATTGACTTTGCCATTCTGGGCCAGTAGAATCTGGCACGAGCAAGATGTAAAACTCGCTCAACCCCAAGATGGCCCACTTCGTCGTGGAGACCGTACATAGCCCTCTCTCTAAAACATTCAGGAAGGACCAACTGTGCAACCTCATGTCCCTTATCCATCCACTTCCTGTAAAGCACCCCATCTCTTAACTCCAACCTTTTCCATTCCCTCAGGAGGAGTTTGACATCAACAGGTTCAGAAGTGATGTCAGCTAGACTGGGTTTGCTTGCCTTCTCAAGGAGAGTAATGACATGACAAAGGGAGGGATCACGTCTTTGGGCTTCACGCCAATCAGAGATTGTCATTGATTGAAGGGTGTCTTCACAAAATATTTCAGAAAGAGTTGAGGGCTCTATGATTAGAGACTCGACCGTCAAAACTTGTCCAATGTCTGAATCATGTCTGTCCTGGTAGTTCACAAGGTGACGCTGACACAATGCAGAGATCATTTCATGATCAACATCAGCACTTACTTCCTGAAGACGTTTTTTCATGTCGTCTACTCTGCTCTTCTCCTTCATGTAGTCCTCATCCTCACAGGGTGGTTCTTGCGGTCGGCGGGACAACCCATCAGCATCACGATTAGCCTGCCCTGCTCTGTACTTGATACTGAACTGGTAAGTGGACAAAGCGGCTAACCAACGGTGTCCAGCAGCATCCAACTTGGCTGATGTCAAGACATATGTAAGGGGGTTGTTGTCTGTGAATACAGTGAAACTGGAACCATACAGATAGTCATTAAACTTTTCACAAATAGCCCACTTGAGAGCTAAAAATTCCAGTTTGTGTGTGGGATAGTTTTGTTCACTTTTGGAGAGTCCACGACTGGCATAGGCAATGACTCTTAACTGTCCATCTTGCTCTTGATAGAGCGCTGCACCCAACCCATCACAACAAGCATCAGTGTGTAAGATATATGGCAGTGATGGATTGGCAAAAGCAAGTACAGGCGCAGTTGTCAACTTCTCTATCAAGGTCTGGAAAGCTTTGTCGCATTCTGAGGTCCATTCATCAGCAAGGGGCACATTAAAATTCAGAGCTGGGGTTTTTGAATGTTCTCTACAGTAAACTTTACCCCTTTTCTTTGGTGGGCAGTACCCAGCAGTCAGGTTGTTCAGAGGCTTGGCAATTTGTGAATACTCCTTAACAAACCGGCGGTAATACCCAGCAAACCCTAAAAAACATTTAAGCTCTTTCCGGTTTGTTGGGCGAGGCCAGGTCTTCAGGGCTGAAACTTTCTCTGGGTCAGTGTGAACCCCTTGGGCATCGACCAAATGACCAAGATACTTCACTGAAGTTTTGAAAAAATGACACTTCTCTGGAGATAGCTTCAATCCAAAATCTTTCAAGCGGTTCAGAACTTTCATAAGCCTTGCTTCATGTTCTTCCAGTGTGTCAGAAAACACAATCAGATCATCTAAAAATACCAGCACTTCTGTTAGGTTTAGATCTCCGACACACTTCTCCATTAACCGCTGAAATGTGCTTGGTGCATTTGTGACACCTTGTGGCATACGGTTGAATTCAAAGAATCCCAGAGGACATACAAATGCTGTTTTTGGCTTATCTTCTTCAGCCATTTCAACCTGGTAATATCCAGATTTCAAGTCCATTACTGAGAACCACTTCGCTCCACTGAGGGCTGTGAAGGTCTCCTCGATAGTCGGTAGTGCATAAGCATCCCTGATAGTGCGTGCATTTAATTTGCGATAGTCTATGCACAATCTTATTGACCCATCTTTTTTACGCACCAAAAATATTGGGGAAGAAAAGGGGCTTTCTGACTCCCTTATGACTCCAGCATCAAGCAGCTCCTTTAAGTGTTGCTTGACAGCCTCCCTGTCACTGGGATGAATGGGTCGTGGCCTTTCCTTAAAAGGTGTTTCATCATTAAGCCTTATGTGATGCTTTACAGCTGTAGTATGACCATATGACAAATCATTAGTAGCGAATACTTCACGGATGGAGTTAAGTTTGGTGGTAATGCGTTCTCTCCACTGTTCTGAAATTGGTGAATCTTGAAGGTCAAATGTTAGGTTTCCGCAATTAGGCTGCTTCTGAGGCACATTTCTCTCAGGTCTTGGTGTGTACAACTGTTGCGCTGCACATAACTGAGCAAGGACGGACTTCGGCCGTAGCATCACATTGTGGTCACTCAGGTTACGCAACACTATGGGGATCTTAGCGTTAGTCATGAAAGGGATATCCACCAATGCAGGTTCAAGAAGTAATCCACCAGGTAAGTGAAGATGTTTGTGTGGTTCAAGAACAAAATTTTTGTTCATATCATGTTTCTTTAATCTTACATTACCCATAATGCAACGCTTTTGATTCGCTGGTATAGTGACGGCATTTTCGCCATGCAGCTTCACAGAATATACAAATTTGTCACTCTTCTGTGCATGAGCTACATGCTGCAAGACCATTGTCAAATCCTGAGAACACAGCTGATGTATGAATTTTGGACCACTGTGCTCAAGGAGATTGTCATGTAGTTGGAACATCACATTGGTCCCGATCAGAAGGGGAATTCTGTTATTAAAAGCACAGTCAGGGACTACAAGTGCTAAAGCAGCTAACTCTTCTTCTCGACCAGTAATATTACGAGGGAAAGTGACACATACTTCGATGTAACCTAGATACGGGACATGCTGTCCTCCTGCTCCTTCGACTTCAAGAAGAGCCTGGATTGGTTGCACAGACAAATGAGAAAGGTGGCTTCGATAGAAGGATTCTGAAATGGTTGTGACTTGGGATCCAGTGTCCATAATTGACTCACACGGCACCCCTTCAAGAAGGACAGATGCTGCACAATGAGGACCCACAAGCCCAGATGGTAACATTGGATTTGCACCATTGGTCAGGTTTGGTGCGTGGGACACCACTGCATCTTGGGTTACAGAACTATTGACAAAACTTTCGGGATGTAGGATTTCTGCAGTCCCAGCTCCTGGAAGTCCCACTGCAGGAGCTGTTACAAGTTTAAAGAAAAAGGCTCGGCTGCCTGTTGAGCCAAGAACTTCTCCCGTCTTGCTTTTAATTCTGCATTCTTTTGGTGAACAAGTATGGGGTTCGGTTCATTTGGACACCGGATAGCAATGTGGTTGTCTTCTCCACATTTGAAACAGAACCAGGCCCTTGGCATGCTAAGAACTTTCCCTGGGTTCTTAATACTGTTACTGGTTACTCTCAGACATTGAGTGTTTCCATCACAATTGCCTGCCTTGCTGAGCTTCTGACCTTCAGTCAGTTGTTTTAGCTGGTTTGATAGCTCATCTATCTTGCTCTCTAGCTTAGTATTTTCCGCTTGTCTTAATGTTGGCTCTGGAGAGATTTCACATCCAGTAGCTGGCTTCTTGGACTCTTGGCTTAATTTTTCTACTTGCTTTGAGAGTTCATTGAGCTGTTTTTGAAATTTGCTCATGTTATTCTCTTTAGCACTGGATGCTGAACTACAGTCAATATCATATTGAGGCATGTCAAACACTGAATGAGCGAGTGCAGTGGTCTTTACGGATCCAAGGTGTTTCTTCATCCTGTCAAGCTTTGCAGATCTTCGATCCTCTTCAGTCCTTATTGAAAGGAGCAAGTTCGGGAAAGATGGTGGATCATTTTTCTTGTAC